AAAACAGCTGATATGGGTGATGTACTTCCTCACTTTTAATTTACGTTTCATTTTCGTTATCCTTCATCTTTTGGGTCGTTGTTTGTTTGTTGTGATGCATATCCCAAACCAAAGAAATCTTAAGCACTTAATCATTTGATTTAGTGTTCCGTCGATGCTACCCAACATCATGCACTCTAGTTCAGTACTACTGACCAACTCGTTCCAGTACGTTTGAACAAATGGCACATCCCTGCACAGATGATTCAAGTTGTTGTTGTTAAGTAAATTTTCTATTGATTTGACACCAACAGTCGCAGTGTTCCTTGACCTAAAAGGAGCCTTCGATTCAGTTGACCGTGAGGCTTGTATGGGGTCGCTGCTTCGTAAAACAATGCTGCAGAAGTATGTCGCTGTACCTGCATACTTCTGATAGCCTAAAGGTTCACGGTGGGCTAAGCAAATCGTTCGAAACCAGAAGTGATGTTCGTCAAGGATGCCCTATTTCACAATTGACTATGCTACCATCATTTGAAATGCAGCTACCTAAGTAGGTAAAACATTCCACTACAGCTAATTTTTGACAGTCAAGCATCAGCACTGGGATAGACGACACCCAGTCTTGAAGCGTCACTTTGCACTTTGAAGGTGCGAAGCGCATGCCGAAAGGAGTTACAGAGCTTGAAAATCTATCAAGAGCGCTTTGCTCATTCTCCATAGATTCGAACAGACAGACGATGTCATCAGCGTACTCTAAATCGCACAGCTTTTCTCCAGCTCCCCATTCAATTCCTACGTTTTGGAGACCACTAATTGCGTTTTCCAGTACTTCGTCTACGACGAGTTTGAACAGGAATGGCGGAATAGGGCACCCTTGACGGACACCGCTCCTGGTTTCGATCAATTTACTTAGCCCACCTTTACGCTACCAGAAGTATGCAGATACAGCGACCCCAGAAGAGCTTCACGGTCAACTGTATCGAAGGTTCCTATAAGGTCAAGGAAGATTGCAGTCGTTAGCCGACGACGTGTTTGACGCACTTCGTGGACTTGACGTAGAGTGAAAATATGGTCGATGCACCCGCGACCTGGTCGGAATCTAAGTTGCTGTTCGCGGATATTCCTCTCCCTTAAGGGTGTCAAGCGACGAAGTATCATAGAATTCAACGCTTTTGTGATTATTGGACCTAAAATAATCCCACGGTGCTTAGTGCAGTCGTTGCGTGATCCCTTCTTGATGATCGGGACGATCAACGATTCACCCCAGGATAAAGGAATACACAACGACTGCACTAAGCACCGTGGG